AATAAAGCAGTCTCATTCAACACTCCATCAACCACTTCCAACGAATTCCAGTTTACATAGGCTTCCCTTGCTAAATTCTCAATGTAGGTCTGCAAAGTTTAAGAGAAAATTGAAGAACACAAGTTAGGTTTAATAATAATATTTTTTTAAAAAGCACAATGGCAATTGATTGATTAAATGAATTAGTTCATACCCTATTGATATTGCTGAGGTCTCGAATGGGGAAATTTTGGCCATTAACCACAGCCCTCAACACTTGACATATAGGATTTAGGAAAATCAAGAAATGAGAACCGCGTAATATGAACATTTTGTTACTCATCACACAGGTTCTAGCGTGCTTTACTGTCACTTCCCACATTTTTTCTGACATTCCAACTCCTAAAATCTGGTTTAAAAACAGCATTTGGAATAAATTGATATTAATTAGCCAGTTATTTAGCATAAGCATTAAGTTTATAAATAATTGTATGTATGAAAGTATTTATATGTACCCTTCTTAGCTTTGACCGGTCAACAACAAACAACTTCAAGAAGTCTTGTACTGTGTGAATTTTCTCTGAGGCTAGCTTCTTGTGAAAAGCTCCATCCTTCCCAATCTTCTCCAGGCGCCAAACTTCATCTTCCAACATTGGTGGGTGATGCTTCTTGTACACTTCACATCAAAACTTACTTAGTTATATGTTGACATGGGAAAATTGATAATACTATGCGACAATGTGATTGTGACACTTAAAAAAAAAATTCCTCTAACTTAAAACGTACAAAATTGACTCAACTACTATTTCATAACTGGATTTTTTGCTTCATTTTGCATTTCAACAATTATAAACATTAGTAAAAAGACAAATTAAGTATCAAAGTAAATCTCTATTATTCGTTTAACATGCATGAACATTGACTTGACTTGAACATTCATGATTGGTTCACTTCCAATACCATTGACCAGAAGACACTCAAATCCGTTGACCCAGAGTCATGCAGGCCAGACAAGTATTTTTTTAAACCAAATTGGACAAAAAAAATATTAATTTAATTCGAGCCATAGGCTGATCATGAACACGATCACTTCTTCTAAAACTAATGAATATGCCAAATTCAGACTCAAATATTTACTTGAGAAAAAGCAAAATATTTATAAGATGATCAAATATTTCTAAAACTAATGGTGTTATCGCTAGGTATGAACATGATCTTTCCTCGCAAATCCTTGAGAAAAAGCAAAATATTTATAAGATGATCAAAGTATGTAACAAGTGAATGTTATTGCTTTGTGCTTGTATGGGTTGACTCCACTTAAAGATGAGCACCTCTATAAAATGAAAGAATAAGCCTTGGAATCGATGTTCATTTAAATTTACAATACTCTTCAGGTGATTAGGTGAAACAATAAATGCGGTGACGCAACAATTTTTCTCCTCTAAAAAACTTATGTGACATACAGATTCATGTATGTAAAAGGCTAGAAACTATGAATTTGTTTTACAAAAAGATCGGTTCACAATAACAATATTAGTTAATAATAAGTAGTAACAATGATTTGGTAATGATCATGAAAAAGTTCTAGCGGTTTATGAGAAGAAAGAAAGTATGAAGATCATGCATATAATACTTACATTCTCCGCGATGATCTTTAACAACGAAAGCATCGGTCATGGCCTCACGGATCCTGGCACCTTGATAGCCTGTGCCTGGAGCCACTCTTGCTCCAAGCCTAAACTTTCTGCTCCTAATCCAGCTCGAATTATCTGTAAACTCGATCTCCCCAACCGTAGCAAACCCATCTCTCGCCGTCACGTTTACTTCGCCCGTGAGCAATGGCCTCTTGCCGGTTCTCTCCCTCAAGACGTTGTTGTCAAATTCTTCGTTGGTCCAATTGGCGCGGTCTCCGGTGGGGAAGTCCCCATCGAGAACAACGATTTCGACTTTGATTGGATTGGGAAGATTAATTGGCACCATTTGATTAGCTCCACTACTTTTGTCCACGACCAAGATTTTAATTGGGTTGTTGTCTTCATCGGATATCTTGCTTGCTGTGAAGATTGGGAGTGAGAGGCTCTTAGCGAAGACAAGTTGTAAGCTGGATTGTTCTAAGGTTTTGATTCTCAGTGAAGGTTGCCTTGTCAATGAGCGCAGTGATGAGCACCGTCTTAGAACATGGTCCACCTCTTCACTCACCTGAAAAAATTCAATTTAATTATAGATTGTTTTAATTAAGAAAATGTTAATATAATTAAAGAAAATTGATGTTTCACTATAAAACTGATTGACAAAACGGTAATATAAAACATTGCTACATAATATATCATTAAGCAGGATTTGCAAGAGAAAATATGTATATATAGCTAGGGTTTACGTACCACTCTTCTAAGCAAAGGCTCTAGGGATGCGAAAAGGTTTTGCATGGAGTTCACCAAAACCACTTCCCCGATTACACTGTCAAGAATCAAAAGCAGTTCAAAAATATTTATGATGAGAAAACATTTTATTCCATTTCTAGATTTGCATAAAATAAAAGATAAAGAATATAACAACGAAAGAAGAAAGCAAAGTATTTGCATGTATATATAGAGTTGATAATTAAGGTTAGGGGACCTACGAAGCAAAAGAAGGCCTAGGTCTTTTCCGGTTGTCATCTGGCTGATCTTGGTCGGATTCTGCATCATTAAAAAACCTTTTGGCGGCCATTTCTCCAAAATATATAACTCCAAAGAATTACACCGAAAGAGAGAGAGAGACAGAGTGATTGATGAAGATGATTAGTATTGAGGGTGATTGACGAAGATGATTAGTATTGAGGGTTTAGGGATTGTCATGCAGCCATGGCTAGCTTTATATATATACAAGGTAAATATATACATAAAGAATGAGGAACATTTGATGGGTTAGTAAACTAAATTAAATAATATAACAAAATGAAGTTTCGTGGAATGGCAAAGGGAAGCAGCTAGGTAGGAGAGAAACAAGGTGACCTAGGTTTAGCCACGCATGACGATCGACTTTGACGTCAACTTCTATAATTTGCTTCATATTAAAACCAACCCCTTCTGTCTGTCGTTATTTGGTATCGGTCTTCTTTATCTGGTCCTACTCATCACAAAGTCTCACGGTTAAGATGCATGCATCGTGATGGAAGGGTTCACCGTCAAACCATATCAACCATCAGATTTACGTGTTAGAAAATCTCTACGATTGGAAATTTTAATTAGGTTGTTAGAGAATTAATCAACAATGTAAATCGATATCAAACTAGTTTAAACGCTGCTCATTTACGTGCACGTGTAACGTCATTTAGCAAATAAAGAGACAAATGAATATGATCACTAGAACTTTGGCACCATATCAAACAATTACCAAACCTCAAACACTTCAGTTCTCAAAAAATTGACTTACAATATATATCAAATTAACATTGCATTTATGCGATAACATATATGTCTATATCACGGCACAAATTTAAAAATAACTTATATGTGGAAATATTCGGGTCCCAGATACCGTGTACTACAAGTACATCAATGTTACTTGTGGTCAATAACTACATTTCTCAGAAGGTTCTAATTCATTTCTATGCAGGGCCTCTAAATTGTAATGATTTGATTAATTAACGACTATACCATAAACTTATAACTACAAGCACAATAAAGGAAAGAGACACGTATTGCTCCTTTGCCAGTTAGAGGGAGCTTTATCTCTGCTTAGTTAGGTGACCAAAGTTTCAGAGCTTTTGGATGTTGAGAGTGAATCTACATCAGGGAATTAAGTGATTTTTTATGCACCTATAATAAATTAAGTTTGTTGAACAAAACAATTAAATAAGTTAATTTTTATATTGTCAATTGATTTTATAGTGAAACTCTAACTTCTCTCATGCTTTCATAGTACGCGATCACATGTGTTGAGCCCAACAGTATGTGAGGATGTGAAGGTAAACAAATCACACATTGGTGAAAGGAAAAATCTTGCAATGTCTAATAAGAGGTTGGGTAACTCCTCATATTGCCAATTAGTTTTCTCGTGGAACTTCAGTTTTCTTCAAGGCATTAGAGCAAGTTAGCCCATGTATGAAGCCGAACGGTCACACATACTCTATATCACTCAATTCGTGCCGTCCACGTGTTTGGTTTGAAAATTCATCATACTTAAGGATACATGTGAGGATGTGAAGGTAAAAGATTCTCATATTGATGGAAAAAAAAAAACCTAATTGATTTTATAATAGAACATCAAATTTCTTTATAATCCATCTGCTCTCACATCACTCAATATGTATTGTGTACATATTAGACTTATATGATCTCACACAAGCTTTAAACTCTGATTTGTCTGTCGTGGAACATGAATTCTTACATACAACAAGCCAAGAATATCCCAACACGAAATGTCGGAGGAAAGTTTGCTGAAAGAACCAAGCTAATTCCTCACCGTAAGTACTGCGTTTGACTCTGATAAAAAAAAGAAAGGAAAAAGGTACTGAGTTTGACTGAATATACAATACTTTTTCTCTTTTCTTTACGATTGAATATTTACATTATTCAGTAGCCCTTCATAATTATGTAGAATCTTCACCACATGATTTGGGCTTCATCTACTTATTTTTGTAATTTGCCAGCTTAAGCAACCCAACTCGTATTTCACGTGCAGACTGGGCCTGTCAGGGTCTGTCAAGTTTTGAACAGAATCCGCGTTGAGCCACATGCGAGGAGGGCTTGGTAAATATGTCCTCGACTACGTTCGTGGATAATGCTAAATAGATAACGTTGTTCCTACCCTACTCTATTAGATATTGTTATTAAGGGCTTATTAACTTTTAACGCTTCATCTAGGACTTCAATTACTCAATTTTACAAGATTGATTTTAACACATATCATTTTATCATTGCCTTAAAAAGTCATATCCTGAAGAGTATCAGTAAGTTTCTCTTTATTTGGAGAGTTGTGCGATATATGTTTAAATCAGGCTATTAAGTAGTTTACGGTATAGAAAACAAAAAAACGGATGTCACAAATATCACACTATCACAATTATCTTGAAAAATTAACTTATACACTTTCAATTATCCCAACAAGTAAAGGAAAAAAAACCCGCAAAAAGAACTCCAAAGCTAATGACAAAAACAACCATAAGCCTTTTTAGTTTACTAATAAATGAATGATGAGCAAAGAAAAAAAAACATCTAAACCCTAAAAATCAATTGAATTTCATGATCTTTGGAGCAAACCTCAGCAGCCTATCCAAAGAGTTTGGCAAGAACTTCCTTGCAAACAAATAGCAAATATTGGTTCGCTTCCCATTGTACTCACACTTGCTTCCATGTCTCAGCTTCTTCAAGAAATCAATCGTTACATCTGTTCTCATAAACTTAGATGGATGGGGCCCACCCTTGGACCAGTCAACCCAAGTCAACGTCCTGTTAGAATTCTTCTTCCAAAACTTGATGCTTACATATGTGGGCAAGTAGTGCTCATCGGAGTAGCATGAGGGGGTGCAATACTTTGTGAACACAGGGAAGTACTTTTCATCGGAAACCACCTCGGTTGCGATCTCACGGTCCACTTCGAACCACTGTGAGCCCTTCCGCCACTGGTCGAGAGTGATTTGAGGTCTCATTTTGTGCCTGTACCGTTCGCGACCGACTGGGCCGGGAAGATCGTAGGCCTCCACGAATATTTGGTTTGAGTCCATGAGATAACTGTAGACTACATTGAAGTTAAATAGTGGTATGCATGACTCTGAGAGGAGCACGAAACGTTGGTTGGAGAAGTCAAGCAAAGCATTGGCTAATAGGCGACGCTCTGCTTTCACCATGTTAGGTTCACCCCATGTCACATTCTGCACGCATTAACAATTGGAGTTAGTAGTCGATCATTATTAAACTAAACAAAATGTTCTTTGTTACAATTTGTCGTGCTACATTATTAAATTCTTATGCACATAACTGATAGAAATTGACAGTCTGATACTTAACATGTTCGACATTCAACACTAGAAAGTCGCTAATACCAATTGAAAGCATGGTCATAACCAAATATGTTCGACATTCGATATTGGGAAAAAAATATGAAATGTTATGCTAATATGTTACGTTTGTTAAAAGGGACTGGCTACCCTAGCTAAGTTGGCTCTTTCTGGAATTTGATATGTGCCACTTTGCCATATACTTACTTTTTGTTACTTGCTAACTACATAAAGAAAGAAACTAATGGCCACTTTTGCTTACTTTCTTCACTTTGATACGATGAGCATGCATGAGAAAGAGACAAACAATACGAAAGGAATTTGGAAATTAAGGTCTTCTAGGGAGTTACAAAAAGAGTAGAATCCAAGCAATGCATATGCAACAAAATTGAGTCCACCACTCAATCCATATGCCAAATTTATTAATATTTTTATGAAATGTAAAAATTAGAAGAAAATTAATTAAGGGAAATTAAAATGTAAATTAACAGACTTTGGAAAAATATGTGGTGTGTGACATTTTGGTACCTATAAAGTACTCATGTGTAAGGATTATTTTGACCAAAAAAATAAATCACCCACCAAATAATTTCCCAAAATTCATTTGTTATTTGTTCATGCCTCCACGACTTCAAAACTCATTTGTTTACCCATGTTCTTATGTCTAATTTTTTCTCAACACATGTAACAGTAATGCCAATTATTATAAGAATGAAAAGATCTGCTTAGACTCCATACTATATGTTATAAAGTGAATTAAGTTTTGAAATTTATATATTATGGAACTTAGGTATTATACATCTCATTCCATAAACATAATGTATGGAAAAGAATGCCAACTATCGATATTATAACTCAGTTCCTTGAAAAAATATAAGTAACTTCTGAAGAAAAGGTTGAGTAATTAAGAGAAGCTTGCTTTTTATGGACAAACCTGCCAGAATGCAGAATCACACAAATACATAGGCTCATAAACAAATGATGATTTGGTCTTCCAAAGACTTGTTATGCAGAATGAATATTTAAGTAATGCAACAACACTACAGACCAAAAAGATAGAATTGAAAAGGAAACATGGGCATGAAGTTCTCCACTGTATGAGGCGTGTTATGAGGCAAGGCTGATGGCTTTTCCATATACAGATAATGGCCTCAAAATCTCAAGTAAAATCAATTCGAGTTTACAAGTTCTCCCAAAGGTGGTGTCTAAAAATGGCGAACTAATGAATATGAAAAGAATTAATTAATTAGAATCTACTGTAAAATATAAATATAAAAATTTAGAAAATTAAAATAGTTTTGCAAAACTTCACTGAAATAGGAAAAAGAAGGAAAAAAACAACTACTTTCTTGTACAACTTTGATTGCGGAGAAAATTCGAATATCTGAATTAAAGCAATATTGTGTAGTACTCCTGTCTAATGACTTTTTATGCTTCATATGTAGCTTATAAACAAGAGGTTTCAAATATAGACCTAATTATAAATAATTCATTGTACGACTTAACTCAAACAATTCCGCTTCAAGGTAGAATATCATTGTAACAAAAAAAAAAGAACATATTGCGTACATACAAATTAATGAAGCTAGCATAACGCATTGACTCCCTACCATCAGTTAACCAGAACATCCAGACGTTGGCTTTGAAAGTTTACATCATTTAAATTATATTTTTTAACGAATCAAAAGTAAAGTTCTAAATATTGGTGTGGCGTAATTCAATTTGCTATATATGTATTCACGCAAAGTCAGCATTGCTTAGAACTACTACAAGTTAATCACATATCTTTCCACTTTTTTCTGTAAATTAGATAAAAACACTTGTAACTTGATCAAAATTAATCAAGAGAAATTAGGATTGTAATATGATAAACTGACCTTACTCGGGACCCTCCTGCCATAAAAAACCGAGTTTTCAGGCATGGTGTCATTGAAACCCGGATTGGCATGAACATATATGGAGTACAACCCTTCATGCCCTTTGAAGAACATTTCCCAAAGAGGAGCCAATGCCAGCCGCCCTCTCGTCAAAAACATGAATGCAACTTTCGGAGTCCGTTTAAACGGCAAACCCCGCCGCCGCGGCACCAACGAAGCTCTCCACAGCAGCTCATCGTCGTCCATTTCATGCAAGATATTCGGCGACTTTGTATATTCTTTCAACCCTATTGGTGGTGCCGGGCCGGCAGCCGAGGTTTTGGCTTTTGTTTGATTTGTTGGGATGTTGAGAGATTGTGGTGGTGGAGAAGAAGATGGTGGATTATTTGTTGACAAATGAGAGTATTTGTTTTGTGTTGAATAAAGTTGGAAGGGAAAATCTTTGAGGTAGATGTTGAGGGAAGCGCCTAGGGCTACACCGAAAGCAAAGATTAGAAAATTTGAGATGATTTTATGGAGGTGGATTTGGGCATTGAAGAAGTGCTTTGGAAAGGAAGATGGTGGGTGGTGTTGCTGCTGCGTAGTCTTCATTTTTTTGGGAGAGAGTTTTGGAAAATGATAAGTGTTTTGATTGATTGGTTTTTGAAATTATACAAACGAAAAATGTGGTAACCTTAAAGAGGGAGAAAGAGAGGAGGAGGAGGCATTTAAATCTAATTTGCAAGCTTCAAAGAACTATTGGGGCTGCTCTCTCTCTCTCTCTCTTTAAAAGATTCTTAAATTGAAGAGATTTTACTAACTTAAAATTTTAAATTTTCTACCACTTACATAACAACACGTGATATATTATTCGTGTTCCCGTCACAACTAAAAATTTCTTCTTAAATTGATCTCGTCACACTAGTTTTTTTTTTTATTTGTTAACATGAAAGATCATAGAGCATTAAATTAACCTAAAAATGAAATTACAAGTAAGATTAACAAGGACCGTCATCATTAATTAGCAATAAATCTTAATTCCTAAGTACATAGAAAGTGGGTTTTAGTGTTCTAAGTATATAGAAAATTTTCTCAGAAGGTTTACATAAAAGACGGTATAAAACGAGGAAATTAAAACATGAGTTGGGTTTTATTTTTCCTTAAGAACAATGAGTTGGGCTAAAAATAACGAAGTTGTATAGTTGGTCGTGGGGAAGACAACGAATGTAAAAGAGGGGGATTGTATGAGAAATATGGATTCCTTGAATAGTGTAAGAAATTAAGTCTTAATTAGGATATAAATCTGATTAAACAAGGAAGATTTTTGGTGGCAAATTACCATATATATTATAAGGATAGTGTTATTCATACACTATTTTTTATCTCTCACACAACTTTGTTAAATTTAGTTCATAAATATTCTTCAATTTATTCGATCCTACGGCCAAAATTTAAGAGTAGTCTGTGAAAAGTAAAAATGAGTGTGTGGATAACATTACCCTATTATAATCTATGATGGGAAAGAACTGTTTTCCAAATAGACGCTCAATGATTTAATAAATTTGTATCTATTACCGTTGAAACGAATGATTAAAAAATTAAGAATGATACTTGGAGAAATTTTTCATTGTAACCGAATACGAGTGGTACACCACGTATTTTTATATAAGTGGTGAACTTTTTTTATATTTAAGTTATTAACTTTTTAGCACACATATCCCACCATTTGTATAATGACACATGATGTACCACTCCGTGTTCCGATCAAACTGAAAAATCTCTCTATACTTGCCCTCTCCAATATTATATTTAGATTATTATAACAAAATAGAAAGTGATGAAGCCAAATAAAATATAGGGTCCAAGAACAATGAATTTTGCAAATGGCTTCTTAGTCACAAAACGCCTGCAATTTCCTTTCTTTTTTATGCTTGAACTTTTTGCCCCATGTTTGTCCTCCTAATCAGATAACCAAAAAACAAAGTGTAACGGTACATGTATAGCTTGATACGCTGCTGTATTATTAATTTCTCTCCTCACATGACTTATTACCTAGGAAGACAGAACAGCATAATACAAATATGCAATGACAACTCTAAACTCTAAAGTGTCTCTGTCGAAGAATAATCACTTGTGTTTCTCTGTCGAAGAATAATCACTTCTATACATCTAAATATTATAAGGGTCAGTGCTACTTAATACTACAATCTAGTAGTATTTTTCTGCACTTATAAAAGATGTTTTAAGTTCGATTATCGCTAAATGAGAATTTGAATCACATTATTATGACTGGTCCAGTTTGATGATTTACCCCTCCTTACCTCTTTAGTGTAGATATATAATATCATTTGTTAAAAAGAAAAGAAAAAAAAACATTTTATACTGCAACATCCATATATTATTGGGGTGGAATTCATTGAACCATTCAATTATTTTCGCACTCTAAATAGGTTGTAAACTTGCAACAACACGTATATAAGAGTGGGCTAGCTTTGGCATGGTGCAGTTGTGACATTTTGAACTTTACGCGTGGGCTAATCTACTCGAATAATATGAAAAAAGTTGAAGTTCCACCATAAAATCAATTGGCAATATAGTAAGTAGCTCAACCTCTTATACAGCCCTTACAAAGTTACTCATTTCATGGATGTGAGACTCTTTTACTTTCACATTCTCATTTTCAATGCTCATTCATTAACCTTTAAAATAAAAACGCTCATTTTAATTTTTTTTTAATTATGCAAGATACATAAATACATATTAATTTATCAAATTTGTACAAAAGTAATATAAATTGAGTAATGTTATTTGGATACACAAAACAAACACATTATAATTATGAAACGGCTTTTTAGCTAAAATGGTCCCTGATTTTGATATAACTCCTCATTTTGGTCCCTGAAATTTGAAATCGATAGAAGTAATCTCTGAATTTATACACCATCAATCATTTTGGTTATTATGTGCAAAATTATTTTAAATAAGAACACAAATGACAAAATTCCCTCAATTTAATAATAATGGGCCAAAATGATTTACAAAAATTGAGGGTATTTTTGTTATTTTATTTTTATTTAATGGAGATTTTTCACAAAATGACCAAAATGATTGATGGTGGACAAACTCAGGGACCACTTCTATCGATATCAAATCTCAGGACCAAAGTGAGGAGTTATGTCAATTTCATGAACTATTTTGTCTAAAAAGCATTATGAAAGTGGCCTTAACAACAAGGGTGCAATTTGCTAGAGATGTCGCAGAGCGTCTCCCATAAGGGGTGTGTTGTTTACACACTTATTTTTACTTCTCACACGCTTCTTGTTAATTTTGACATTTGATCTTTTTTAATTCATCCGATCCGACAGCTAAAAATTAAAATTATGTATGAGAAGTAAAAAAAATGATGTGGATATCACACCCCCTCCCATAAACTTCCTAGGGAATAAAAAGCACATAGAACAAGGTGCAATTAGAACCAAATTTTATTTGATTCAAACTTTTTTCTGAAACATCATTCCTCCCAAATCTTCCAGGGTGAGGTCCACTTTTGGACCAATCGACCCAAGTAACGCTTCGATTCGAGTTTTCTTCAGGGCCAAGAATGTTTACTAGGGTTGGGATGTAATGCTCATCCATGTGACAAGGAGGGCTGCAATGCTCTTTCAATATGGGGTAGTACTTGTTATCTGATATATTTCAATTGCCAGCTTCCGATTGATCTCGAACCACTGGGAGCCTTTGCGCCAATCCGATATGTTGATTTCAGGCCACATTTTCAGATTGTACTGCCCCGACCCACCTTCCACGGTTCCTCGTATGAACCTATATTGCTTTCACTGGCATTCATGAGGTAGCTGTATATTGTGGTGAAGTTGAACAATGGTATACAAGGCTCAGACAGTAACACAAATCTCTCCTTAGTGAAGCCTAGGAGGGCACTTGCTAGTAGTTGTCTCTCACCATCGATCATTGTAGGTCTTCCCCATTCAACCGCCTGTATTAGAGAAGTGATCAACAATGTAATCAGTAAATGTGATACAAATAACAACAGCCGTAATTTATATACATGTGACAAATTACAAGAATTGAGTTGACCATTTTTATCGACAAAAGGTTCAAAACTATCTCCCTTGCTTGGAATTCTCCTTCCATAGAAAACAGAATTTGGAGGCCATGAATCAACATGTGAAGGATGAGGGTGGACATATATCTTGTAAAGTCCTCATGGCCATTGAAGAACATTTCCTATAATGGGGCCAAAGGTATGGGCCCCCTTTGTCAAGAACATGTAGGCAACTCTAGGCACATGGTTATATAGAAACTCTCCAATCATTGGAACAAACGATGCCCTCCAAAACAACTCACCATCATCATCCATCTTGTGCATCAAAAGTACCTAAGTATCAGATGTAACGTTGTCCGGCAAGGGGAGAAGCGGCGGTGAGGGTGGTTGTGGCAGAAGCTGTGATATTGAGGCTGGCGGCAATAGCGGTGACGAGGAGGAAGAGTTTAAAGTGGTTTGTAAGGTGAACAGGAGGAAGGTCTTGCAGTATAAATTGACCATGACTCCAATGGACAAATCAATGACACAAAAACACAAGAAGAAAGGCGTGGCTAAACTGCATATATTAGGACTTGCTCAGCACCTTGATCTCTTAAAGAGTTGATATTTCATGGCCACTCTTCCACCAGTTGGAGCATTCGTACGTCCAAATTTGCAATCGCAAGTTGAAGATTTTTTTTAGTATGCTCCGAAGTTTCTAACCGTTAAATCCTAAAACGTTACCAGACATAATAGTATTTAACTTTCGTTCCAAGTTGTTTTAACGACCGTTTAACTCGGACGTTAGGGTGCAAATGTCACCAAGTTGGCATGAGCAAGCAAGCTCCTTGGTTTGGGGCAACAATGATTGAAGAAGGAATACATTAATGCTGTTTTCCCCGTTCGTTCTTGGATAGAAAATGTCCATCTTACTCATAGGAAGAGGCTCATGCATACTAATACGATATGAAACCGACTTTCAGAGAAGACGAAAGGGCAAGTTCAGCAGAAACCGAAACCGAACCCGATTCTCTAGGAAGCAGGACTAATATCCGTTTTCGTTGACACGGAGTTAGTTTGGCCGCTGCACAAGAGATCAGGGCAGCAAAAGGGTTTCGCAGGTACCGGTGCAAAACGATTAGAATGGTCTCTTTTTACCCACGGTCGCTTTCAATGGCTTCGACCGAAGACTCAGACAGCAGCAGAGAGACTTCTTCATAAGAATATATGAATTGAAGAATAACTGGAAGAAAAGAAAGAAGAAAAAAGAAAAAGATCCCAAAAATCTATCAAATATCATCAAGAACTGTATACACACAGCTGGTTTTTACTAAGATAGTCATCCCAGCTACCAAAAGATTACATATAGCTGACATTCCGTAATGATTTCTACGAAATAAGCTGCCAGATCTTGAGAGACGCTTCCTCCTCATCATGCAACGGAACCTTTCTTCGCCTTAGCTGAGGAGTTGCCAGGTATGCACACGGGCTTTTTCTCCTTTGGCGCAATAGGAAGTAGTAGAGTTTCATAGTCATCTTAAGGAGTACGCCCTGAATCAATTTCAAGTTCACAAACTATAATTTCTCCCATTTACGAATTTGAAGAATACGCCCTTGCACGTGCCTGGCAACTCCAAAGTTAAGGCAGAGAAAAGTTTCGTGGCCTCTTGAGGAGGATTACCATCCGATAGTATTTGTACACAATGCAGTTCCTGTTTCCCATTGTCTCTAAACCTATTGACGTCAATATATATAGGAGATGGTACCTGGTTACCACCATATTCTGAAATTGAAGGTCATCGACTCCATCTACACATGCTTCTCCCCCAAATTCCCATTTCGAAGTCTTTTTTCAAGAAGATCGTCATCAGACTTCCTTCCTAGAAATTCCACTGGCTGCTGTTCCAAAACAGAACACATAAAGGTATCTAGATTTTTCTTTAAGCGAGAAGTTTCTTTCTTAGATTCTAGGTACTTCTTAAAAGCAAGCGAGTGCGAGCATAAGGGGCAGATGAAGTTACCCTTCTCATAACAAATGAATTCGGAACCAAGACATTTTTCATGATATGCCAAAGGGCAATCAATGATAGTACATATCAACAGCTGAGCACCTTCATTACACTTCACACAAATATTTTCCTCCATCCAATCAGTTGTCTCTGAGTAAGCACGATTTAATGTGCATTGGGAGGTCAAAAAACCATGCTTCTTTGTGGTGACATCAATCTCCCCATTATTATGCTCATCACTATCCCTTGACTCGGAATGAATATCTATAATCTCTGTGGCTCCATCAGCAATTGTCTTCCGTGGGGATCCATCTGCAGACACAGCATGCACTACTTTAACCTGAGAACCATGCTCCCTATTACAATCAGAGTCTTTGGCACACACTGTATGCTGGGTTTCAACTGGATGAACAACACCCGATGTTGTTGCTTCAAGACAATGTTCAACATCATCTCTGCCTTCAGCAGCACAAGGACTTTCTAACTGACTCGTAGGGATTATGTCCTCCCTATTCAGTCCACAACTATTCGGGCCCAAAACACACCTTTCACTCTCAATAACTGAAACATCTCTTTCAGACAAATCTTCCAACTGCTCTCTTTGAGGTAAAGAAACTGGGTTGTGTTCTACACACTGCGAAACAAAAGAGGCACCCCCCTTCATCTTCTTGGCGTTTCTAAGTGAATCGTCAGAATCATTCACGGTAACATGGTTTTCATCCACCAGGTTTCCAATATCCGGGCCAACTCTGTCCCTCTTCGAAGGCAGTACATTTGCTTCATTTCCTTCAACTCTTGTGTTTTGCACCCGATTCATCTTCATGGCAATTCTAAGTGAATCATCAAAATCATTTACCCTAACACAGTTCCCACCAGCCACATTTCCATCTGAAGAAATCCTGACCCTCTTTGAAGGCAACACATTTGCATCATTCCCTTCTACTCTCGTGTTTCGAGCATTAGAGCAGCTCCCCTTAAACCTCCTATTACCACCACTCACAGAAACTCCATCATTACAACCGTCCCTATTCGATGCTAATCCGCTCTTTCGTATCAAGAAATCAGCATACGGATGCGTACCGTCAAGAATCGAATCTTTGATCTGCCCCAAAACACATTTCGGCATAGAAGCCCGTTTGTGCAAAATAAAAGCCTGAACATCCCATTTCAACAACCCCGGCCCGTCCGTTTTCACATCGCATTCCGGCGTCTACACAAAAACACAGATTCCAACTTCACACTCAACAATTAAACATACAAAACCCCCAGAATGCCAACAATCCTCATACAAATTCTAACAACTAAAAAAAAAAAATCCAACTTTACACTTAATATCTAAACATACAAAAAACCCAGAAAAAATTTGAACTAATTACACAAAAAAAAAATTTTGGTTTTCAAATCATACCTCATTGATAATGCGCTGCAGAACATCTTCGCATCGTTCCGAAAAATCGAAGCTGAATTTCAAAGGTGAGGTTGAAGAAGAAGCGGAAGCCGAGGGCAGAAGAGCAAGAACATCGTTGCGAGGAGGAAACAAGTCCTCCAAAGTTCTCAGAGCGACCCTTTCGCTCACTTTCCTCTCCAAACCATCGGGTAAATCGGGAGCCATTTCGATCAAATCGTGCAAAAGCGGCAACCCAACCTCTTTGAATCCCGCCAGTGCTTCCAGCAGCCAGCCCCACGCGGTGGCCGCCTCTTTCTTCGTCATCTCGTCCATGGGTCGTCGGCGCAATCGCAGAGACGACGGTGGTCCGTCGAGGGAGGGAGGTGACTGATCGGTTTTTTCCTCTTTGGTGTCAGTTTTCTATTTATTTATTTATTCATGTGATTTAATATGACTGGTTGGGTTGGGTCGGGTCTTATGTTCTTGTGGGCTTGTAAGCTGAGATATTTTGGGCTAGAACCAGTTGCTCGAATCAGGTTAGGATTAGAGTGCAATTTTATCTTCAGTATTTACGCTCATGAATCTCTTTAGTGCAAATGAAAAGTGCATATTTAAGTTATACATTTCAATAAAAGTCATTAGATAGATTTTGTTACGTTAAATGATCTAACGGCCTAACTCAAAAATACAACTTAAATGTAGATTTTTGAAATTTGATTGTTGAATTTGATTTTACAATTTTCGGTCATTCAGTTTAAGTCAATAGATCAAATTCAACGGAAAAAAAAAAAAAAAAGTATTACTCTTTGTGCCTCTAAGTACTCAAGAAAAATCTGTTAGTGTGGCTAATGAAAAATATGTTCAAATTTTATCAATGCTCATGCTCTGATTTGCCACTACAATTTCAATTTGATTTTGAACCACCTAATATATTATTAATTTACCCCTATCGACAAATTTATCGATTTTGTCGTCAAATTTGGGGTTATTTTTATAGAACACTTTTGTTTTGGTCAATCATGTATTCAATCTCATACCGGTTCTTGACCAAAAATAAATACAAGAAAACTTCTATATATAGTCGTTAGAGAAATGCTAAGAAAACTCTTAAAGTAGGAATTTTCATAGATTCTTTGTCGCTCACAGTTTAACATTGATTTTTCCGTGCCAACATTATATAACATTGTTCGAAAAACATGAGATGACAGAAAGTCCTTGAAGCTTTATTTTCCTTTGTTCCTTCTAGAGAACAATTTGCAGACATTCTCACTAAAGGACTAACTGCTCCTTTGTTCCATACTCATTGCTCAAACCTCATACCGGTTCATCCAAACATGAGTTTGCGTGGACATGTTAGAATAATTGTATGGCCTAGATTGTGCCACTTATAAACAGTTTATAGTGTTGGTTAAGTTTGTTAGTGAGCTAGTGTTGTTAGTTTTCACTATAGAGACTCTTCATCGTAGTAACTTCCTCAACTAAGAAAGATTATGTTTAATACTCTCCTCTCCAATGAAAATATTACGCAATAAATTTCCTTTATGCCAAATTTGCTAGCTGTATACTTAATTTAGTTGGTGGCCTTAGAGCATCTCTAAAGAAAATGTCAAAATGTACATATCAGCTATAACAGTAAAAAAAAGACCATACTAATATTCTCCAACCGAAGTGTCAAATCCCATGTGGCAATGACATAGATTGGCAGCAAAAAAGATTGCTATCAAATTTGACTGCAGCTTCAAACGTTTTTTTTATTAATTATTAAATTTATTTTATTATTTTTTAATTAGTTTAATCACTTATTATAATTAATGTTAAGTTGACCGATGCAATTATCATACTTTTTTCTTTATTTCAATAAAGGAGGATGAACAAATTACTGATTAAACTTTAAGTGTCCTTTATTAAATTTTAATTAGTTTAATAATTTATTTTATAAAATAATAATTTAAGTTGACATATTGGTTGGAGAACAAAACTTTAAAAGATGTCAAAATGTCACATAAGCTGTCAAAATTTAAATTTTATGTTCAAATTTTGATCTTATGTGCCAAAGAGGAAGTTGCACTTACACCCGTCTTAGCTAATTGACAATCCGAATCTTTATTAGTTTTTTTATACTTAATTAGCTACTGATGACAGATAAATTGAGGATTTGAGTCATCAAATCAAAAACAATATGCGTCCTTACGATTAACCAGATACTTTGCTGGTGCTTAAGATCTTTTTAATTATATTTTATTCGATAACGTTGCTTAATTATTAACAATTTAACACTTCAACCCTAAACCCTAGTTCGTTGACACAGACCCATCGTATACTGTATACAACTCTTTTCTTTCTACGCAACAAACCTATATGAACACAAGAGAGTTGGGTGTACTCAGTTATATTGATAGAAAGAGGAAAGAAAACAGTCCAAATTAGATTATAGAGCAGGTTTGGCTGGGGTTTTCTAATAGTAAACAGTTCAAATCGGGAAACAGTCCAAACAGTGCAAAAGTGTGAATTTCTAAAGTCATTGGCCGATTACGTCCTTAGGATTTGGCTGGGGTTTTTCTTAGAAGAAGTGAGAATTCAATTAAAAATTGAGATGGACTGCAGAGTTTAGGATAACGGAGTGAATTCATATGGCCGGGACCACTGTGTTCAAATAAAAAACTCAAAGGAACAATTGCTTGATAATATCCCACAACAACAACAAAGATTTATCTTCTAAATGGGGTTGACTGTATAAAACTTAGAGCACCACTGTCTTTATGTCAAGCCTTATCCCACTAGTTGCTTGATAATATCCAAATTATAGAGAAGAAAAGCTGGACACAAAGTCCTTGTTATGCCAGACTGGCCAGTCATGAACAAAAAACATAAATTAATGACTTCTAATAAAGGGACCCAACGTTTGCATGTGACATGCTTACAATCCAAAATACAAATGGAAACAGAATTTGAAATTCATTTTTTCTAAATTTTTCTGATCGTGATTTCAACCTTATCAGCTGGAGTCGGGTGTGATAGATAAATGATTTCAGCATCTGGGTTGACAAGTTCCCACCTGAAAATTTCATTAATTATAAATAATTTAGAGTTTAGAATTCAAAAGCAAACATATATATGTATAAATCACATTATGACAAAAACTGAGTTTCAAAGATTCCAATATCAAAAGTAAGGGAAATTCTAGGGTACTTTATGGAAAAAAATTGGATATTGATCCTTTCTTTTAATAAGCGATTGTGATGTGCTTAATGAAATGGTTTACTTGTATCCTGTACACAAATGATGTAAGAAGATTGCAAGTTGCAGCCTAACAAGCATGTTTCCAGGACATATTCTTGGTCCACCACCAAAAACTAGGTAAGTTCCAGGCTTAGGCGATTCCTGCAAAATTGTGTAATTAAGTACATTTTCTACATCATTTATCCCTAGGGTAAATAGTTTATAATTGTTTCATGCAAGAATAATGTAGTCTCACACTCCATCTGTCTGGATTAAAGCACATAGGATCATCAAAGTTCTCAGGATTTGTGTGGAGATATCGGACCCAGAGAACCACAGTCCAACCCTTGGGTATTTTGTAACCTGCAAGAATTTTGTTACCACTAACTTGATTACAAACAAGGTCTAATTAATGGTCTAGTTGGAACTCAAACACTTGCACAATGGATTCGTTGTACCTTTATATTCAGCTTCCTTGTTAGCTTTCCGGAAAAGAAATGCTGCAACGTTTGCCATTCTTATTGTTTCTTCTACCACCTATATGTAAATACAAAAGGTTTGGCTTGATATTTAAAATTTGTTTGTAACAATATGAATGCTTGCAAGACACATATATGAATGATGATGGAAATGAAATGATGAACATGGTTAGTAGGTCATCATCTAGCTATCTGATCTTCTATTTCTGAGGAGATATAATATTTAACATCTTTCTTCCTTGGCTATTTGCCAGACTCCAGGCTGGCGTGTGATTTTGCCATAGAAGAAGAGATGATATATAGTGTTGTATATAGTAAAGGTAACGTAGATTGGCTCATTGGGCCCCTTTCGATTTGGGGGTCATGGCCGTAGCAGTCCGTGCTCACCCTCAGGCCGGTCCGGGAGAAGGGGAAGGATTTGAAACCGAACACAAACACGAATTGAATAGAATATTATATTCATTGTGGCAATCCACTACTTTCAACTTTTCTTTTTTAAGCAACAATATAAACAATAAAAAGTTAACATTAATGCATAAACAATACTTTGTTTGTGTATTTCATTTTCATGATATCTTCAAATGTAATATGATCTCCTTTCTTGTTCTGACTTAAAGCCATATTCTCCGCCTGTACATATAATTGCACATGAGAAACTTATCAAGATACTAAAACTTAATGAAGATGATTCATTTCTCTTTATATTTAATTTATACATACCCTAAGTTTTTCGAGGACATTAGGGTATTTGGCAAGATAATATACGGCCCACATTGATGAAATGGCAGTAGAAGCGTATCCAGCAACGATAAGGCTAACAATGTTATCTATCACCTCTAAGTCACTTAATTTATTGCCTTCATCGTCTTTAATTTGCATAAGCCCATCCATTAGGTCATTTGTCACTTCTTTTTGGGTTTTTTTCTTCTCTAGCAACACACTGAAAATGGCCACCAGCTTCTTCCTACACTGTAAATTCATTCACGTTCATAATTAAGTATATATAATCAGAGATCATATAACTGATTAGAAACCTTTAGGATTTCAGGTTGGAATTAATAATAAGATTAACCTGACTAGCATGGCGAAAAGACGTTCCAGGAATGTTGTATGGTAGAGCTCTAACTCCTTTCAGTATTCCAGCAAACAAGTTATCAATGGTATCTAGGAGCGGTCCTGGCTCCAGACTTGCAAATAGTTTTCCAATATTTTCAAATGCTACCTGCAAGTATATATATGAGACATGGAATACTAATTAGCTAGCTATGTTAATCAAGACACACACACATAGTTGTATGTTTAATCAATTTATTTGATAATTTACCTTATTAAACTCGTCATACACGTTGATTCTACCCTTTTGAGCCCATGATTGAAGTGCAGCCACCATTCTCGGTTGAACTTGGGGGGCAATGTTTCTTAGAGAGTTTGGCCGATTAATAGCATTTGTGACAAAGTTTCTGAGTCTTTCATGAGACTTTCCATGAACTGCCGCCAAAGAAGTATAGCCCATAAGCTCAACGCTTGGCCACTCTAGCATGAAGATGTCATCTTTTGAAACACGAATTTGTTGACCGCCGGAAAGCATGCTATGATGGAAGGTTTTCCGAAGAGGTGGGTTCTAAACATTCCAACTCCATCGCCATGCCTGAGCATACACATGACAAAAAAATGTTAACTATTCATCAAAATATAACCAGTTAATTCTATCAGTATTTTGGTCAGTAATTCTGTTAGTCAATAGCATAATATGACTAGTTATTCATTTTTGTTTAATTGATCATCTGTGCGAGATGTTTACAATGGTTATAAAAAAAAAATAATAAATAAATAAAAACTAAAAATAAAAAACTGAAAATTGATAGAAATCAACGCTTAATATGACAAAAAAAGCAGTAAATAAAAAAGATTCAGATAGCTAGTTTGGATTTGAGTCTTAGAAGAACTATTAATAACAATCAAACTAAATAGTAGAATTTTTCTCCGCCACGAAGGGTGAAACCAATGTCTTATATTTTGAAACAGTTGAAGGATTCCCCAACATCTCGTCTTTTACGTACGTACCCGCAGGCCGCAGTTCTTATGGAAAATCTGTTATTTGTACACATTAGGAATATTAACTTGCAACGTATAATATCTTGAATCTCTTAAAAAAGTTCAATAATTTGATTATTTGAACCATGGTGTCAAAGTCATTGCTAAGTTCGGTGTTTTCAGGACATGGGATCAAATTGATTAAGTTGGGTACTACCACCAAAAAGTTAATTAAGTTGGGTACTAATCAATCGACCCTGAAAATAATAAAAACAAAGATAATAGACAAACAACAATTTAAAAATATATATTTTATTTCATAATGAAAACAATTTCAATCTCAAGTCTAAGTATCTCGTTTTACTCATTCACGTATATTATAAAGAGAAAGAAAACCTACTTGCGTCGCTTAGCATTGATAAATTCATCGGGACGGCGAATAATTTTGAAATACCAAAGGAATGTAAGCATTTCCCCAAGAAATGGAAATCCCATGTGACCTGGGGGCAGTTTGGCGATTGAGGTGGAAGGCCATAGTTTGAGAGGTAGCACAAACCAAAGCTCATTCCACCACCACAAGAGTAATCCCAATAGTGGCAAACCACCCAAAGCCAAACCCAGCCACACCCCAATAGAAATTTCCATTAACCCTAGCTGCGTACAAATATGCTAATAAATGGTGACACTGGCTTCTTGGCTAGTTATGGCTCATGCCTCATGGTCTCAAAAAACCTTTAGATTTTTCGGATTTAAATAGAGTTGGTTTGTTATCGTTCTTGATTCCTACTGGTTTATTCCTCTTGCCAGACGTTAGCAAGTGTACAAAGAATTTTTTTAATACAGTAACAGATAATACATAATTGAATTACTACTGGGGAGGGCTTATTATATATTGAAATCCTGATTTAGCCCAGACAGGGAATAAACCTATTGTACTTAGGGATTTTGGGGGTGGGGGGTTATTATATGCGAAATTTTTTAGTTGTATCTGCACAACAGTACAAGGGTAGATTATTTATTTATTAGTATGAACGGATCTTTATGCCATGAATATGCTTCTTTTGCCAGATTCAGCATCTTTTTTTTGCAATCTTGATTTTTATTGCTTGATTGATATTAATAATCCTGTCATACAAAAATAACAGGTTGTGGGTCAACTTGTTAATAAGTTGGGTCATTATTGGATCACCCATTGAGAACCCGTTAAGAAGTCGGGTCATTCGTTAAAAACCCGATAAGATTTTCCAAATCTAGACATTAGACATAGGGCTGGAAAAAAATCCCAAAAATCCCAAACCAAACCGAAAAAATCCCGATCCCAAACCAAAAAAATCCCAAACCAAAATTCCCGAAATTTTCGGTATGTAATCCCGAACCAAACCGAAATTTTCGGTATGGGATTCGGTATTCCATCTCCATTTTTTCGGTATTCCCATACCGAATTGAAATAAATATTATATATATATATATAATTTTTTTTATTATAAGAGAATTATTTCAACCGTTCATTGTTTTAGATTTAATCTGTATATATATATATATATATATATACAATTACCAACAAGAAGGGAGCAACCACAAGCATCAACAAGATCAAGGGGACGAAGGGGCCGAAGAGGCCAACAATATTTATAGACTTTAAGCTTTGCTTTTTAGCTTTTGGTTTGTAACTTAATTATTGAAACTTTGGCTCATAACTAATTTTTTTGATTTTGGGTTTGTTACTTTATTTATAAACTTTGGCTTGTAACTAATATTTTTGCTTTTGAGTTTGTTACTTTATTTATTACTTTATAATATGTCAAATTTTAGCCCAAAAACATAATATGTCAAATTTTAGTCCAAAAGCCAAAAAACATTTCGGGATTCCCGATTTGTCCCGAAATCCCGAAATTATTTCGGGATTCCCGAAAATTGGGATTCCCGAAAATTTGGTTTGGGATTGGGATTAAATTTGGGATTCCCAAAAATTTCGGTTTGGGAATCGGGACAATGGTTTCGGTATGGGATCCCATACCGAACCACCCCTAATTAGACATGCTAATCTCTTGAATGACCTCGATACAAAACTACACAACTCGTTAACATATCGGATCACCTATGAAGAACCCATTGAAATAACGAGTTTGACACGACACGACCTATTAAAAAAACGACCGTGCCGAGAAATGAAATGAACACGACAACATGGCCCATTTGTCAGGCCTAATATTATAGTGATTAAATGAAAGGGTATTATTTTTGTAATCATGGTGTTAATTAAATTTTCACTCATAGTCATTATGTTAGAGTACAACTAACTTCTAGTTAGAAGAATTTTTTTGATAATTTTAGATAAATTTTTTTCTGTAAAATATAGAGCATGATTGAAGATGCTTACAAAATAAATAAACAAACATTATCCGGTAGAAGGTAGTCCAATAAAAATATGTCATTTTTTTCAAAGAATAATAGAATAAAAATAAATGAACTTCACTTATCTATCTCTATTGTTATAATGCCAAATCTTCCTTATAAAAAAATTAAAAAAAAATTTTTTAAAAAAGAAAAACTAATGAAAATGGCTTGAAAACTTTGAGTTTTAACGATAAGGACGAAATAAAAGGTAAAGTGAATAGTATCATGATTGACTTTTTAGTGTAAAAATGTAGTTTTTTTGTTAAAGTGAATAGTACTTGAAGCTTTTCGTTAAAGTTTCCTAAAAAAAATCATAATTGCAAGCCTTCTCGTTGGTGTTTCAAGTTTTACCATAATTTTCCATAAATAATCGTTAATCAATTTATCTCTAAAATGAGCCAATTAATTTTTCTTTTTGACAAGGCTTATTATATTAACACCCCACAAATTATTGAATAAACCTCACATACTTAATACACCCCACATTTGCTTTTTCAATGAAATATTATCTTAATACACCCCTACATACTTCCTCATAATACCTTCACACCTCACATTCTCAATATACACCTTATATTTTCTACATGCACCCCATATTTTCTATACACCACACATTTCTCAAATCTTATAAAGCTTTTAATTTGGACAAAAAATGTCGACTGCAATTTTGACAAAAGATGCCACTTGGGATTTAAAGCATATGTGGGTTGTTTTCAATTCCACCATTAAAACTCATGTCGTCTGTTTTTAATATTTGGTGGTAATTTTAGGTATTTAATTCTTCATGTAATCCTTGTGATCCCTAAAAGATGAATACGAACATAGAAGCTTGAATAACGCAACAAAAGCAAGATTAAATAATCATAGATGTTGTCAAAATCACTAAAACAATCAAGAATATGAAGTCTTACCTCATATGAAGTTTCCAAAACATCGATTTCGTGTTTCATTCGTCAAAAATAATTTTTCTCAATCAACATGTTTATAGTTTCATTGGTTAGGGTTTTGTTCAACGATGGAGGGTCGGAGTGACACACCCCGACCGAGGTCAGGGAGTGCTGGCCGTCACGCAAGGGTGACGTAACCATGTGCACAGTGCGGAAGCTAATAAAACCATAAAATAAGAAGTACGAATAAATAGAAACTAGCATACATGAGGTAATAGAAATAAGTGCTAGCGTAAGTGAGACACAAGTTCAGAGCATAATGTCAAAAGCAGTCCAAACTAAAATGACACGACAACAGTACACCCGAAGGTGGCCCTACGCTGGTGATCGTCTGTCAGAAATGCCGGGAAAGCCCTCTGGGAAACCACCAAACCTGCTAGACAACTAGAACCTAGAGGGGCGCAAAACAAAAGCGTGAGTGGGCAAAAACAAAGCTTTTCAAAAACCATTTAATAAATAAGTTCTAACCTCTCGCCGTAAAACCTGTATACTTCCCAGAAAAATAAACATATATACATATATATATATATATATATATCAATCATGCTTAAGAATATGCCATGTCAGAACCTCAGAATGAAATGCAAGTGCTCAGGTAGATATCATATCAATAACATATAGTCTGGCAGCCGGAGTCACCTAACGTGACCTGTACGGCTGCATCTAGAGCTTAAATCTCAATCTCAATAACTAAACCTGCCCACGAGTCGGAACCACCTAAAGTGGTCTGTACGACAGGCCTGGGTGTAATACATATAAACGCTCTAGTGCTACGATCACGTGAAGGCTGTACGAATAATCGCGGGTCACCTACGAGTCGGAACCACCTAAAGTGGTATGTACGACAGGACTGTGCACCTAACTTGGATCCAAGCTGAGCATGTGGTGCGGGAGGTGAACAACACGTGAAAGACTGTGCCCTACTCTGGGCGGGAGCACTAACACCGGGGGTGCAGGTTATGAGCTCTCTAAGCATCTCAAATCACTACGGAATATAAACATAAATAACACTTACCTGGCACTTACCTGTGCGTCCACAGCACTAATACATACGAACATATATATATGCAACTAATCATGCATAATAACCAACAATATGAAAATGGCATATAACTAATAAACATTTAAATCAGTTTCTAGGAAATATAAGTATATAGGTATATACGGAAAACCAAAAGCCCACTCACTGGTAAGTGGAAGGGTCGTAACCCCCTGCCTCGAGTGACCACGCTCGTCCTCGGGATACGTCTCACCTATATGCGAAATAACTATAAAAACGTTAATTTTAAAGCACATAACCAAACTTTAGAAATAACTTCTCATACAATGCTCAAATGGGGTGTATGAATACACCAACGTGATCTACTCAACCTCACGAACATCCCCAAATTTTTAAAATAATTTTTCACCGCCGCACGCGCCCCCACGCGCAGGCACGTGCCTGGCACGCTGACGGCGTCAACTGACGCCGTAGGGAATATTCCATTAACCCTAACGGTTTCCGTCAACGGCGTCAGGAATATTCTGTCAGATTTGACGGAATATTCCGACTTCTTCCCCGGCGAGCCTCTGGCGCCGTCGCCGGTGCCGGAAAACTGGAAAATTTTCAAACTTCGATAACGTCTTCGTTTTTCATCCAAATTTCACAAAATTGGTACCAAAATGAAGCTTAGAACTAGAAGAACACAATCATACTACTTTCAAGGGTTAAAAACCACGAAATCTCACCTGAAAATTCAACCCAACTCCGCCCAACTTCGAAACTAGTGATCCCGACGTCCAAAACCATCAAACGAACCACTCCGAGCCTCCTTGGAACCTCACCAAGCTACCTACAAGCTTGAAATTCCCTAAAACATGAGAAATCACGTGTGCATGAACAGTACTCGAATTCGGACATCGTGGATTCGACGTGAAAACGATGGTGTTCTTACCTGAAAATGGTATGGTTGGACTCCTACAAGCCTCACGAGCTCGAATATGGTCTTGGTTTCCTCGATCTGTGGAAGTTTAATGGGTTTTGGGTGTGTGTCCGTACGTATATGGTGAATGGGAAGGGAAATGGGGCTCGGGACAATCACAGGGAAAGGGACAGAAAGGTGTGGGGTGTAGGAGTGTGAGTGTGTGGCCCAAAACATGCCAACACAGCACAAAAACAACCAATAAACGTAACGAAATCGAACTAGGGGCAAAATAGTCTTTTCACGCGTACGTTTTTGATGTTTCTGGGACGGGCTGTCACACGGAGGGATTTTGATAGTTGAAGAAAATAAATAATATGTTAAAAAGTGATTTGGGGTT